TGATCCCAGTGTCCTGGGATCGAGTCCCACATCGGGCTCCTTGCTCGTCAGGGAGCCTGCTTCTCCCTCTGCCTCTGCCTGCCATTCTGTCTGCCTGTGCTCGCTCTCTCTCTGACAAATAAATAAATAAAATCTTTAAAAAAAAAAAAAAAGTTTAAAAAAAAAAATAAAAAAATTAAAAAAAATAAAAAAAAAAAAAAAGAAATACCACACTGTGAATGGCCCCAACTGGGAAATAAGGAGAGCCCTATCGAAGCAAGAGGTGGCGAGTGCTTTATCTGGCCAAAGAAGTCGAAGTAGTTCTGGAAACTTTGGTGCTGGTCGTGGAGGTGGTTTCGGTGAGAATGCCAACTGTGGTCATACAGGAAACTTAGGTGGCAGTCAAGGTGGTGGCAGACATGGTGACAGTGGGGATGGCTATCATGGATTTGGTAATGTTAGAAGCAACTCTGGAGGTGGTGGAGGCTATAATGATTTTGTCAGTTATAATAATCAATCTTTACAATCTGGACCCATGAAAGGAGGATATTTTGGAGGCTGAAGCTCGGCTCCTGTGGTGATAGAGGCCAATACTTTATTAAACCATGAAACCAAGGTGGCTACAGTGGTTCTAGCAGTAGCAGTAGCAATGGCAGTGGTGGGAGGTTTCCATTGCTTCCAGGAAGCAGAGCTCAGCGGGAGAGGAGAGCCAGAGAAGTGACAGGGAAGCTACAGGTTACAACAGATTTGTGATTTCAGCCAAACACAGTGGTGGCAGGGCCGAGCTATTACAAAGAAAACCTGTTTTAGACAATAATCGTGTATGGGCAAAAAACTCAATGTCTGTATTTGTGACTGATCGTATAACAGGTTATTTTAGTTTCTGTTCTATGGAAAGTGTAAAGCATTCCAACAAAGGGTTCTAATGTAGTTTTTTTTTTTTTTCACCCATGCTGTTGATTGATAAATGTAATTGTCTGATCATGATGCTGAATAAATGTGTCTTTAAAAAATTAAAAACAAAAAATAAAAAATAGATCATTTTTCTATTGAGTTGTATGAACTCTTTATACTTTTTAATATTAGCCCCTTATCAGGCATGTGATTTGTAAACATTTTCTTCCAATCCGTAGGTTGCCTTCTCATTTTGTTGATGGTTTCCTTTGCTGTACAGAAGCTTTGTGGTTTTATGTAGTCCCACTTGCTTATTTTTGCTTTTGTTTCCTTTGCTTTTGATGTCAAATTCAATAAATCATTGCCAAGAGCAAGTCTAGGAGCTTACTACCTATGTTTTCTTCTAGAAGTTTTATGGTTTCAGGCCTTATGTTTGAGTCTTTGATCCATTTTGAGTTAATTTTTGTGTATGGTGTAAGGTAGTGACCCAGTTTTATTCTTTTGCAAATGGATTTCCAGTTTTCTCAGCACCATTTATTGAAGAGACTGTCCTTTCTTCATTAAATAGTTTTGCCTTTTTTGTTGTAATTAATTGACCATCTATGCATGGATTTATCTCTGGGCTTTATTCTGTTCCACTGATCTATATGTCTGTTTTTATGCCAATACCATACTATTTTGATTACTGTTGCTTTGTAACATAATTTGAAATCTGGAAATGGGATACCTCCAGCTTTGTTCTTTTTTTCTCCAGATTGCTTTGGCTAATCAGGATCTTCTTGGTTCCATACGAATTTTTATAATTATTTGTTCTATTTCTATGAAAAATACCATTGGAATTTTGATAAGGACTGCACTGAGTCTGTAGATTGCTTTGGGTGGTATGGACTTTTTAACAATATTAATTCTTCCCCCAAAAAACCAATATTAATTCTTCAGTTCATGAGCATGGAATATCTTTCTACCTATTTGCATCTTTTTCAATTTCTTTCACCAGTGTTTTATAGTTTTCAGTGTATAGGTCTTTCACCTCCTTGGTTAAATTTATTCCTAGGTATTTTATTTTATTTATCTTAAAATTTAAAAAAAAATTTTTCTCAGTAATCTCTACACCCAGTGTGGGGCTTGAACTCATGACCCCGAGATAAAGAGTCATATGCCAACCAAGATGCCCCTCTTCCTAGGTATTTTAATCATTGTGATTCAATTGTAAATAGGATTGTTTTCTTAACTTCTCTTTGTGATAGTTCATTATTCATGTATAGAAATGCAATTGATTTTTGTGTATTGATTTTGTATCCTGCAACTTTACTGTACTTGTTAGTTCTAACAGTTTTTTTGGTGGAGTCTTTAGGGTTTTCTATATATAGTATCTACAAATAGAAATAGTTTTACTTCTTCCTTTCTGTTTTGAATGGCTTGTATTATTTTTTTTTCTTTCCTAATTCATCAGTTATGACTTCCAGTACTATGTTGAATAAGAGAAAAGGCAAATCTTGTAAGGATAGAAAGTAGATAGAAAATAGAAAGTTAAGGTGGTTGCCTGGGACAGGGAGTTGTGAATAGAGATAGATTGCAAATGGGCATAAGGGATCTTTTTGGGGTGATGAAAATGTTCTAATAATGGATTATGGTAATGGTTGCAGAACTCTGTAAATTTACTAAAAAATACGATATTGTTCACTTAAAATGAGCAAATATTATGGTATGTAAATTATTTCAGAGAGAGAAATAAGGAATTACTTAGATAGCCAGGTAAAAACATCAAGTCACTTTTAGGGGAAAGAAAATTGGGTTCTCCGGGCGCCTGGGTGGCTCAGTGGGTTAAAGCCTCTGCCTTCGGCTCGGGTCATGATTGCAGGGTCCTGGGATGGAGCCCCACGTGGGGCTCTCTGCTCAACGGGAAGCCTGCTTCCTCCAATCTCTCTGCCTGCCTCTCTACTTGTGATCTCTGTATGTCAAATAAATAAATTTTTAAAAACTTAAAAAAATAAAAATAAATAAATAAATTACTTAAAAAAAAAAAAAGAAAATTGGGTTCTCCTCAGAAACATATAATGTCTCACAGAAACATTCAACATGAGAAAACAATGAGACAATACCTACAAAACACAGACCGAAAGAAAGTATAGCCAATATTATCATATTGAACCAGTCTTTCTCATCTCCCATGATCTTCTGCAATGTGACCTTGCTACTCTCCCATTAAAAAGTGGGTCTAATTTTTCTCCCTTGGAATCTGGGTGGGCCTTAAGGACTCTCTTGTTATCAAGACAATGAAGTGAAAGTGATGTTGGTGACTTCCAAGTCTAGGTTAGAAGAAGTCTTGTGGCTTCTGTGTAGGTCCTTTGTAACACTCCCTCCTCCCTAGAATCTCTCTCAGGATGCTCCCTTTAAGAATCCAGATAGGGGCTACCTGGGTGGCTCAGTGGGTTAAGCCTCTGCCTTCAGTTCAGGTCATGATCTCAGGGTCCTGGGATCGAGTCCCGCATCGGGCTCTCTGCTAGGCAGGGAGCCTGCTTCCTCCTCCCTCTCTCTCTCTCCCTCTCTGCCTACTTGTGATCTCTATCTGTCAAATAAAATCTTTAAAAAAAAAAAAAAAAAGAATCCAGATAGTGGGCTGTGAGAAACCAAACCACCTGGAGACCCACATGGAGATGCTCTGGTTGACAGCTCCAGCTGAGCGCAGGTTTCATACCATCCCAGCCCAGGTGCCAAACTGAGTAAAGAAGACTCTAGATGATTCCAGCCCTCAGCTGTTTCAGTGCCCGCACCCCGCCACAAGAAGTTATAGCCTTTTCCCCAGCTGAGACCCCAAACCTCATAGAACACAGACAATTCATTTGTGCTGCACCTCATGCAAATCCTGACCCAGAGAATCATGGTTTTGTTTCCCTCCACTAGCTGGAGGACACTTTATTAAGCCACAAGAGATAACCAGAACAGCAGTATGACAGAAGTGATACTGTGTTCTTCGCATTTTGAACAGTCACTTGGCTCATGATTTCAATCTGTCTCATTACAATGTTTATTTTGATCACTTGTCTAAGGTGGTAGCTACTATAACATTACTCTTTCCTTTGAAATAGTAAGTATTTATTGCAGAGGTATTGTGAGATTGTAAATATTCCCATTCCTCATCAAACATTCAATTAGTTTGTTTACTTCAATCAGTATGGACTAATGGGTTTCTCTTTTATTCAGTAGGTTATCATTATTAATTTTGCTGCTCAGATTGGCCTAGATTTGGCTAGTGGGAGCCCCTTCTAAGTTGCCCCTCATACCTTTTGACATGTCCCCATACCTCTCGAGCAGTTTCTAACTTCCAGTACAAGATGTCCCAGCTTTATCTATGGTATGTGGGAACCAAGATCTGGCACTGGGTAGGTTCATTGCTGTAAGGTTGTACAAACACATGAATTGATATGTTAATAAAATCTAAAAATTAATAAATACAATCTGTATTTCTGTATGTCTATATTGACAACCATAAGTTTACACCATTACCTCTGATTTGAAATGAATGCCACAAGATTCATTTTTGCCTTCTCCTTCTCCATATTTATTTGTCTTTTCTCTGACAATGAGATACCTGGTTCCCATTACCTTAATGTATTTACTTATTTGATTAATCACATTTTATGTAATCAATCTCCCATCGCCAGCATGGCCCCAGCTTCCGTGTTGGGGCCATTCCCTTCCACTTGGGCTTCTGATCCACGGGAGCAGTCACCCTCCTACACTAACATCTTCTTCACTCCACATGGGCTGTGAAATCCCATACTGCTCCCACTCCACGCGATCTTCCCCCAACCCTGTGTCCTCACCCTGCTGTGGAAGCCCACTGTGGCATCTAGCGGTCTTGGACTGAACTGTCACAAAGGAAAAGGGAG